GCAGACCCCACATTGGACACAGCAGCAGCAGCAGCAGCAGCAGCAGCAGCAACAACAGACGCAGCAGCAGAAATAGCAGCTCAAGAAGGAGATGACAACACGGATGCTGGACTCAAAATCAAACAACCAATTCTAGACCCTTTCGCGGGGCCCCCCGAGGGTCTAGAGGCCCCCCACCGCATTTCCGAGGCCCCAACAGTCCACGGTGAGTACAGGGGCCCCCAATGGGGGCCCCCGGGGGCCCCCAGGGGCCCCCCCGTAGGGGCCCCCAGGGGCCTCCAGGGCCTCCTGATAATTTTGGGGGCCCCATGGGGGCTCCGTGGGCGCCTTGGCGCCACAAAGAGCTTCTAGGGGCCCCTTCAGGGTCCCCCTGGGGCCCCCCAGGGGCCCCCCGGGGGGCCCCCAGGGGCCCCTTAGAGGCCCCCAGGGGCCCCTGACAGTGTGTGTTGATTGTTACTTTGTCTTTTCTTTTTCTTTCTTGCTGCTGCCTTTTGTGTCTTGAAGATTTGTTTCTATTCTTTTTGTTTTTTTGTCTTTTCAGAAGTCCCCTTGCACCGCCGCTTTCTCTTAATGAATCCGCAACAAAGACAAATAATAATTCAGCAGCATCAGCAGCAAGTGGGGCTCACGGGGGGCCCCCGGGGGGCCCCCAGGGGGGGCCCAGGGTACCCAAAGGGCCCCGGGGGGCCCCTAGATATTATAATGTGGTTCAAGGGGCCCATAGGGGCCCCTGCGGGCCCCCTAGGGGCCCCCAGGGGCCCCCAGGGGCCTCCAGAGGCCCCCAGGGGGGCCCCTAGGGGTTTCGTTGGGGGAGTTTTGGGGCCTTTTGAAAAGCTGCGGGGGGCCCCTGGGGTTTCACGCTAAAGAAAGCGGAGTGGCAGGGCTTAGGGTTTAGGGTTTGGGGTTTAGGATTTAGGGTTTAGGGTTTAGGGTTTAGGGTTTAGGGTTTGTTTGTGCAGATTGCGCGCTTTGATTTGCTGCTATCTGAGCTGGAGGCGGAAAAGGACAAAAACAATTGGCTCTTTATATGCGAGCAATACAAGTTTGTCTTTTTTTATTTTTATTTTTTTAGTTTTGTTTTTTAATTCTGTCTCTTATTATTTCATCTCTTTTCATTTTGTCCCCTGTAGCTGCCGCATCTTCTCCATTTGTTTCCTTTTTAACAACGTCTTGCTGCTGCTGCCTCTGCTGCTGCTGCTGCTGCTGCTGCTGCCTCTGCTGCAGGGATCTTCTCCTCAGCGAGTCTTACTTCTTCTTGCTGACTTATCGCCTTCTAAGAGTCCCCCCAATCTCCACAGAAGCTCCTGGGGGCCCCCGAGGGGCCCCCACT